ACACCATTCTTTGTTGTTTTAGGACCGCCCCCATTATTTCAGTTGTATATTATAGTTCTTTCTTATCCCATTTGTACAGTCTCCTGATGAAGTCCACTGGGTGGACGAAAGCTAGAGAATAAATTATATATTGGTAGTCTCAAAAGAGCTGCTGTTATTTACTTTATACTTTCTCTACTGTACAGACTAACGCGGCTATACTTTTTATACTCAGAACACATTTTGAATGTGATGAAATGGCATTAAAAAAAACTCTCTTTAAACCCCACCACTGTTACTGCGTTGTACAAAGATAATGAATTGTCTGGAAAAATCATTTATGGATCTTAGTCAACGCAATTTCAGCTTTTGCTTTTAGATCCCACCCAAACCATTACCTTACTCTAAATCAAGTTAACGTGAGTTTCAACATCATAGCTATAGACAGATGTTGATTTGATGTGATCCATGCTAATAACGATTATTACGTTTTTAGCAGCCTCCCTATATTTACACACTTATCCGATTTCCGATCGATCAGAATATTGAGATTCGGTGTAAATTTAATGCCTACCTTGGAAACTAATCGGGTAGTCGCCGCTATCTGTTTTCCAAACAAATTGGCCTGATTCATCAATTAGCGCAATCCAAAAGGCGGATATATGTTTAGCTTTATAATCCGTTCATGATCTTCACCGGTTCGTATTACAGGTAGAGTTGCATTCAAATCTGTACATTTAGACATTGCATCATTCAAATTGACAGTGTCAGCTAAGATGTAATAGATCCTTCCATTTAAGATGATTGTCTGCCTATCATTACCAACTGAAAACGAACCTACAATAACATTTGGAATGTCTTTTAAAATAGGACTCTCAGCCAACAACTTTACGTCTTAATAATGCTACGGTTTGGTGTACAAAACGTTATCTTTGTAGTAGTCGAACCATAAATAAGTAATTAGAACGTAATTTTCACACCAGTTTACTGTACCCAAATAGTTTCATCCCAGAACATTGTGCAGCCTACAGCATACATGTAGAAGCAGAATAAGCAGAAATAAATTTAATTGTAACTTGCATCCTAAACCATAATCCTAAACCAAAATGTTCGCGAACATTTAATGTTTTGTGTTTTAATTCAAATCGATGTAACGTTAATCCATTCACTTTGTTTTTAATTAAGTGTAACAGAAAAATTAAAATATAATAATACTGCAAACTTTAAAAACAGAAGCCAAAGACTCATGAAAGATAAGAAAAACAAATCTTTTGTTGGGACTGGCTGTCTATTTTAAGTCATTGTGGGTGGTTACATTACAGATTGCAAACTTACCTCCTATACAAATGTAGAAATACACAACAAATATAGTTACAAACAATACCATCATTATTTTGTTGCCGATGTTTTCTTTGATATTTGTCAATTGAATCTGTTTAATTCCAGCCTGATGAAACTCACGAACTCGTTCAAGCCAGCGATCCGGAATGGCGTGAAAAGATTTGTAACAACAAAATCAGATAATTAAAGTGTGTAATAACATTTCAGCTATGAATTGCAAGATTGGATTGGAAAATGTCAAGCAATACTATTCAAAAGACTTCTCGTTTTCACTGTGGCCGTAGCGTATTAAAAAGCATAGTGACGTAGGATTATTCTTCGTGTGTTGAGAAATAATCATAAATATGTTCGATCCAAATGTAGATAATAAATCGCTTAACTTTTTAGGTCTACTGTATTTCTACATATTCATAATTGACTGCTAATTGAACCCTAATATATGTATATAAGAATTACAAAACAGGCCTACGTGAACTTATACAAAAATATTCTTTAAAATAGCAAATGTAGTGGAAAGCATGAGGATTCAATTTGCCTGTAGTGAAACTGTTACCGATTAATTATTAGGCTGTATGCAACTTGAGAACTAGAGTTGAACTAGCGTGAGTCAAATGCAAAACGGCATTGAAAAATTGTTCTAGTAAGATAAGATTCGACTTACAGATTGATAATTAATGAAAAACACAACAATTTGGCATGTGAAATAAGATCGATTTAGAACTTATTCGAGTTAGGCAAAGTCGACTTAGGCAAGTTTAACTGTATGCTAATCTGACGTTTTTTTCAGTCTACTCTATAGGCCTACTTATACTAGGCCTATATTCAAATTCATAATTTCTGGCAGACTTACGCCTTGTGTACATCATGTGCATTAACAATCCAGGCCGTATAATTAAAGAATGACATCTGCTGACAATTCCCAACAAGACAAACCTGCCAGCCTCCCTTCCTCTCCTGCGTACAGTTGAAAAAGATCAAACTATAGCTCTTAATACAGACGTTTGCTTACGTTATTAATAATAATAATAACAATAACAATAACAATAACAATAATAATAATAATAATAATAATAATATGTCGGTCTTATATAGCGCTTCATGCAAGGCCTCTAAGCGCTTTACATTACTTCCCCTGTCATTGGATCAAACACGTATGGAACACATACTCAGCTCCCTAGGCAGAATTCCAGAATATTGCAGCTAGTAATCAACGCAGTTGTGTTCGAACCTACAAGGCACCCACTTGTACTCCTGGGTGGAGAGAGGCACCCGTAGATAAAGTGCATTGCCCAAGGACACAAACTAAGTCGTCTTTATTAAATATGAGACTAGGAATTAGAACCGTTGAACGAGCTCACTCCTCGTGTATGCATCAATTCTTATATTTGCTGTCTTAAACGTAATAAAAATAGCTTCTAATTGTGCCTGAAGATTGCTAAAAAAATCCTTGCCAAATTCATCTACGAAAGCAGTGATATGGGAAATGTCTTATATGTATGGCCAGACAGAAGTGTGTTCAAAGGTTTTTCAACTTTTGTTAGGTTAAAAATGATGAAAACATGATGAACATATGATGAGAAATTGTAATCAGAAATACTTCGTAGATAAAGTGCTTTGCCCAAGGACAAGATGTGTATAAGAGACAGGTCTCCTGATGAAGTCCACTGGGTGGACGAAAGCTAGAGAATAAATTATATATTGTTAGTCTCAAAAGAGCTGCTGTTATTTACTTTATACTTTCTCTACTGTACAGACTAACGCGGCTATACTTTTTATACTCAGAACACATTTTGAATGTGATGAAATGGCATTAAAAAAAACTCTCTTTAAACCCCACCACTGTTACTGCGTTGTACAAAGATAATGAATTGTCTGGAAAAATCATTTATGGATCTTAGTCAACGCAATTTCAGCTTTTGCTTTTAGATCCCACTCAAACCATTACCTTACTCTAAATCAAGTTAACGTGAGTTTCAACATCATAGCTATAGACAGATGTTGGTTTGATGTGATCCATGCTAATAACGATTATTACGTTTTTAGCAGCCTCCCTATTTTTACACACTTATCCGATTTCCGATCGATCAGAATATTGAGATTCGGTGTAAATTTAATGCTTACCTTAGAAACTAATCGGGTAGTCGCCGCTATCTGTTTTCCAAACCAATTGGCCTGATTCATCAATTAGCGCAATCCAAAAGGCGGATATATGTTTAGCTTTATAATCCGGTTCGTATTACAGGTAGAGTTGCATTCAAATCTGTACATTTAGACATTGCATCATTCAAATTGACTGTGTCAGCTAAGATGTAATAGATCCTTCCATTTAAGATGATTGTCTGTCTATCATTACCAACTGAAAACGAACCTACAATAACATTTGGAATGTCTTTTAAAATAGGACTACTCAGCCAACAACTTTACGTCTTAATAATGCTACGGTTTGGTGTACAAAACGTTATCTTTGTAGTAGTCGAACCATAAATAAGTAAATAGAACGTAATTTTCACACCAGTTTACTGTACCCAAATAGTTTCATCCCAGAACATTGTGCAGCCTACAGCATACATCTAGAAGCAGAATAAGCAGAAATAAACATAATTGTAACTTGCATCCTAAACCATAATCCTAAACCAAAACGTTCGCGAACATTTAATGTTTTGTGTTTCAATTTAAATCGATGTAACGTTAATCTATTATACTTTATTTTTAATTAAGTGTAACAGAAAAATTAAAATATAATAATACTGCAAACTTTAAAAACAGAAGCCAAAGACTCATGAAAGATAAGAAAAACAAATCTTTTGTTGGGACAGGCTGTCTATTTTAAGTCATTGTGGGCGGTTACATTACAGATTGCAAACTTACCTCCTATACAAATGTAGAAATACACAACAAATATAGTTACAAACAATACCATAATTATTTTGTTGCCGATGTTTTCTTTGATATTTGTCAATTGAATCTGTTTAATTCCAGCCAGATGAAACTCACGAACTCGTTCAAGCCAGCGATCCGGAATGGCGTGAAAAGATTTGTAACAACAAAATCAGATAATTAAAGTGTGTAATAACATTTCAGCTATGAATTGCAAGATTGGATTGGAAAATGTCAAGCAATACTATTCAAAAGACTTCTCGTTTTCACTGTGGCCGTAGCGTATTAAAAAGCATAGTGACGTAGGATTATTCTTCGTGTGTTGAGAAATAATCATAAATATGTTCGATCCAAATGTAGATAATAAATCGCTTAACTTTTTGGGTCTACTGTATTTCTACATATTCATCATTGACTGCTAATTGAACCCTAATATATGTATATAACAATTACAAAACAGGCCTAGGTGAACTTATACAAAAATATTCTTTAAAATAGCAAATGTAGTGGAAAGCATGAGGATTCAATTTGCCTGTAGTGAAACTGTTACTGATTAATTATTAGGCTGTATGCAACTTGAGAACTAGAGTTGAACTAGCATGAGTCAAATGCAAAATGGCATTGAAAAATTGTTCTAGTAAGATAAGATTCGACTTACAGATTGATAATTAATGAAAAACACAACAATTTGGCATGTGAAATAAGATCGATTTAGAACTTATTCGAGTTAGGCAAAGTCGACTTAGGCAAGTTTAACTGTATGCTAATCTGACGTTTTCTCAGTCTACTCTATAGGCCTACTTATACTAGGCCTATATTCAAATTCATAATTTCTGGCAGACTTACGCCTTGTGTACATCATGTGCATTAACAATCCAGGCCGTATAATTAAAGAATGACATCTGCTGACAATTCCCAACAAGACAAACCTGCCAGCCTCCCTTCCTCTCCTGCGGACAGTTGAAAAAGATCAAACTATAGCTCTTAATACAGACGTTTGCTTACGTTATTAATAATAATAATAATAATAACAATAACAATAACAATAACAATAACAATAATAATAATAATAATAATAATAATAATAATAATAATAATAATAATAATAATAATAATAATAATAATAATAATAATAATAATAATATGTCGGTCTTATATAGCGCTTCATGCAAGGCCTCTAAGCGCTTTACATTACTTCTCCTGTCATTGGATCAAACACGTATGGAACACATACTCAGCTCCCTAGGCAGAATTCCAGAATATTGCAGCTAGTAATCAACGCAGTTGTGTTCGAACCTACAAGGCACCCACTTGTACTCCTGGGTGGAGAGAGGCACCCGTAGATAAAGTGCATTGCCCAAGGACACAAACTAAGTCGTCTTTATTAAATATGAGACTAGGAATTAGAACCGTTGAACGAGCTCACTCCTCGTGTATGCA